CGGCCTGGGTTCGATCCTCAGCAACACATACAAACAAAGATGTCGTGTCCACCGAAAACTAAAAAAAAAAAAAAAAAAAAAAAAAAAAAATATTAAAAAAAACTCTCTCTCTCTCTAAAAAAAAAAAAAAAGAAATAATGCACAAAAACTGACTTACAATTTTATTTTCATTATATTAGTGATTTTTATTTAATCAGTGGGTTGACAAACTACAAATAGCTGAGGAGGATAGGAAGTTTAATAGAATGAAATAAAATTTCTCACCCTCCAAGGATTTCCTTCAGTCTGCATCTTCTTTACATTTGCTTTTGTTCTGAAAATATTTGTCACTTCCTTTCTCCCTCACCAATCATTGTCCTTGAATTTTCCCTCTTTCTTTCTTTCAAAACCATATATCATATTCCATTTTAGCTCTATAATTAACATACCCCATTTTACTTAAATGTGAATGATTCTAATGAGCTCATAAAAATTGAAATGCATTAACATCTTTTTTAAAAAAAAATATTTTTTACTTGTAGTTGGGAAAAATACCTTCATTTTATTTATTTATTTTTATGTGGTGCTGAGGATCTAACCCCGGGCCGCACATATGCAAGGCGAGCGCTCTACCACTGAACCACAACCCCAGCCTCTGCATTATCATCTTCTGATTAAGCACAAGATTATCTTCTGATAATACACAAATTATCTTCTGATAATACACAAATACACAAATTATCTTCTGATAATACACAAATACGTGCAATTAGAGAAAATGGGATGTACTTCTATTAAAATGTTAGTGGAAGTCCCTACATTTTCCTTTTTCCATTTCTTGTGGTCAGGTTGCTCTTGTATAAATTTGGTAGTTTGGCATGCATATTTTCTCAAAGCCTGGATATTTCCCTAAATGCACTCTAAAAGATTTAGCCAGTCCTCCTCCTCACACTGGGCAATTTTCCAACCACTAATTCCTCTGTAGTTTTTGATAGAAATAACACAATCAACAACTCCTTCAGGTCCTATTTCAGTCCTTTTTTTTTTTTTGAGATTTACTTGCTCTGGATTCAATAATGTATCCAATAATATCCATAACACTACACAGAACATTTGATAAAATATTTAGAATAATTGTTCTTACCCAGACTAGTTACAGCTAATGTTCCAGTCTTGCAATTCCCAGGTTTATAATCAAGAGTAACTTCTGCATGTCCCAAGGCCTATAACTTAGAAGATAAAGTAATAATACAAATGAAGTACTGACAAGCCTACCTAGCTTACATTAGCATCCTGTACATGCTAGTTCTCATGACTTCATGTGAAATACACTGGTAAGTCGTAGGGACAAACTGTTGAATAGAACCAGATATGAACTCAGAAATTCAGAGTTTATATTTCACATGAAAAGAAATTTATATCGAACAAAAGACGGTTTTAATGTTTATGTATTGAATTCATGGGTTGTTTTAAACAGGTTCCATTATACTGTCTAGAAATATCATCCCTATTTTTGCTGGTGCCCCCATGCCATAAATATTTATGCAAGGGGCTCTCCCCATAGGTCCCCAAGTCAATGACTGTCTTAGCTGAAGGCACAGGCAGAGAGTTAACTTGGCCAGTACTATAAGAACATCCATGGAAGAGTGAATAGTTATTTCCTTCTTTTTTTCTCTAATCTTCATCACCTTATTGTCTCATAGGGCTGAGTTAAATTCAATGTGTTTTATACAGGAGTTAAAAGGAATGCCTTGGGACAGAATAGGATAAAAACCATGCTACCTGTCTTATTTTCCTTTGGTTCCTCCAGTTCATGGATCAGTTCTGTTCGTTTTCCCTTTATTTGATCTCACACATTTCTTAACATCTCTCATATATATATATATATATATATATATATATATATATATATATATATATAAATTGTGGGTGAGTTTGTGTACATGCACATTTGTGAGTGTATACACACATATATACAAACTTGTATATAAAAATATATATAATATGCATTATGTACTATATAAGTGCAATATACATAAAGGGAAGATAATTTCTTAAAAGTTTTATACAATATAATAGGCCATATATATTTTTTCAATATTACCGTGTTTATTAAAGAAGACTAAAAGCAGTAGAGCAGTATATTCCTTTCCCAATACTGTTTGTGTTTAGCAGTTGAAAATTATTTGAAACTAGTAATTTTGATAATAGCTAAGTAAGCTTGTACACAACTATTTTACTATATTTTAGTTTATTCATAGCTGTACTTGGATTGATAGGTAGTTGGCTAGATACATAGATAGGTACATACATTCTGCATAATACATTGATAGATATTTAGATATGAAATCTATACTCTTTGGCTCATTTACATTTGAAAAGTTAAGAGTTTCATGTTCTATTGAGTGAACTAGCTGAGTTAGTTGAAATTGTATTTTGAAATTCGAATCATGTTCAAAACTGTATATTGCAAATATAATTTTATTTCTGCCTATAAGGCATAGAAACAGAAAGTTCCCTTTTGTTTTATGGACAGAATGTATTCTATAAAGTGAGATAGCCTGAATTTGTTTAACTTCCCCTAATTTAGTTTATAAGCATAGAGGAGAACAACTGGTATTATTGGGTTACATTGTGTGATATAAACCTTTTTACTTTTATATTTCATCCATAAAGGTAATGCTTATGAATATTTCTTTCACCACCAAATAAATGATTTTGCTTTTCCAAACACTTAACATAAAAAATTATTATTTGATTAATTTTTAATATTTTTATGTGATTTTCTATTATGAGTTTAGCTTTTGTGTCTTGAATTTTCTTAAATATTAAACATTAGCTTTATATTAAAGAGAGGAATTAGCTAAAGGATGCAGTAAACATTTTTGATTCCGTAACATATTTTCTGTTTAAAGAAAGATATCGTATACAAAATTCTTCTAAGAGTTTTCCAAAAATAGCAACATCAAAATCATGCTCAATTTTTTGAAATAAGAAATGTTATATTTAATTGTCACCTAGTCCTTGTTATATTTTCCCATGTTTTATATTCTTAATGCAAAAAAAATGAAGAAAAATTCTAAAAATGAAATTTTGAAAAAGTGAGAGATATAATAGCCAAAGTGTATTTTACATTAACCTGTCTTCATAAATACATGCAAAATTACTTTAACTATGCATCATTTTACTTTATTACTAAATAATGTTCACTGTTAATGAATAATTACATTTTTATGGAAAAAGAAAAAACTATCCATCCCTTGTACACCAAAACAATTGGTGTTTTCTTTTTTCTTAACTTGTTAGTATAAATAAAACATTAGAGGCATGTCATTAGCGTTTACCAGTTTCAAAAGCATACTTAAGTATTACTAAGAATCTGAGGGATGGAATGTGAGTATTATATGGGTGTTCTAGTTTTTCAGTCACATCGCGGGGGTGATTTGTATTCTCTAAACTTTCTTTTTTCTTAAGGCCAAGCATTTTTTCACAAGTTTAAAGATCACACACCCATAAAATAGAACAAGCAAAACTTTTTCACCATGAAAATATTATTTAAAAAGTGTGAAAATGTGGGGCTGGGGTTGTGACTCAGTTGTAGAGTGCTTGCCTAGCATGTGTGAGGCACTGGGGTTGGTCCTCAGAACCAAATTAAAAAACTAAATAAATAAAATAAAGTTATTGTCTCCAATTATGACATATTTTATATATATATATATATATATATATATATATATATATAAAATAGTGAAAATGTACAGAAGATTATTTTTACCTGTACCCATAGTGAAACATGAAAATGTTTACTTACAAAAAACAAAAGGGACAAGTAACACAGGAAATGTCCAAAACTTGATGAAGTAACTAATGGAATTTTCAACCTATAAGCAAATCTTAGTAATTTATATATCAATGATATCCAAATGTGAAAACAATTCTTCTTTTAACTCACTTGTACTCACATATGATTAAACAAAAAATTTAACTATAAATTAGAAAACAACTTAGATGAACTTTCAAAAATTATTGAGGAGAAATCTAGTTTAAAATTTGGGGTGAGGTTGGATAACTTTTCAATGATAAATCTTATAATTGACATGGATCTAGTGAGTGTGTAGTGTTTCCTGTCACAGGATATATCAATTCCATTACATATGAGGAGAGGTTTTTAGTGGGTGAATTCAAGTTATCATTGTACCTTAGGGTCTGTAAACAAGTTAAGATGGTGCCTGGCATTTTGCCAGGTGTATGTGAATTAATTTAAGAAAACATAAACGACTGTTGCTGAATTAATGGGGTACTATTGAAATGATTTGATGGGAAATGAGTTGTTAGTGTTAATCTCAATGGACATCATATTTATTTAATGAAATTTGCATAAGTATATGCATTCAAAGTTGAGAGATATTCACTGCAATTCACTTAGAGAAGTTTATGAGTGAATAATATATATGGGGTATTAGGAGAGATAACAGAACCAATGAGGAATTCACTCAGTCCTCAAACACATTAATATCTGAGTGATATAATTAAACTTGAAAAGTTGTGTATAATGTACTTAAAATGTTCTACAAAATCATTTTGCTCAAGGGAATCCATAGTAGGTTTCAGTTAAGATTTTAAAATTATTCTTTAATCTTTATAGCAAATGAGTTAAAAAATATGTACATATTTTTATGTATATGTACATAAAATGTATATATATATATACATACATGTGTGTGTGAAATAATTAATATATTCCCTTTGTTTATCTCTTAAAACTAATTTTTAAAGCACTTCTAGTTTTTAAAGGATTGGGATTTCTTACTAACCAAAAATAAAGAAATGTTTGTAATATAAAATTAAATAGATATCAGTATACATTTTTTAGTGAATTTTACAAAAAAAATTTATTTTAGTCTTTATTAGTAAATACTACTAACTGCATTATTAAAAATTATTACATAGTACAAGTACACAAGTACATTTTTCCAATTTGGAAGTATTTACGTGTTTATATTTGGGGGCTTTTTGTAGGTACATCTGTTATACAAGTGACTGCAACAGATGCAGACGATGCCAACTATGGAAATAGTGCCAAAGTGGTCTATAGTATATTGCAAGGACAGCCATATTTTTCAGTGGACCCAGAGTCAGGTAAAACACTTATGACATGGTATATTTCTCATTATATACATCAGGATTTACTGATTTCATGGAGAATAACCCATGGGAAAGATCTTTCAGTTTTATGAATTATGTTGAATTAATTGTGCATTGAAGGATATGCTTAATCACACTGATGTTTTATCTATTTGTTATGATTAACTTATGTAAAGTGAATCTTAAATAACTTAATTTTAAAAGCCAGTGGTTTAATTGCCTTTTTTTTTTTTCAAAAGGCATAATAAAAACTGCATTACCAGACATGAGCAGAGAAAATCGAGAGCAGTACCAGGTGGTTATACAGGCCAAAGATATGGGTGGCCAGATGGGAGGCCTTTCTGGAACCACAACAGTGAACATCACTCTGACAGATGTAAACAACAATCCTCCTCGATTTCCACAGAGTAAGGAAGGTTTAGTGATCTCTTGTTGAAAAACTTGTCAAACATACAATTATTTAAATCTAATGTTTGCACTATCAGTTCACTATTAATTTATGCAATCTATCAAATCCAAAACCCATCCCTCTACTCACACACACACAGAAGCACAATTTCTTTCAAACTGAGAGTGATGGGTATCATTTTCTTCATTGGGTAGGCAAAAGGACAAAACAAGGACATGAGGTTCTTTTGCAGTTTCGGCTTTTTACTATCCTTTTCTACTTTTTGGAGTGTTGAAAACTTCAGAGGTTAAATTCTGTATGATCTTCCTGATTGGAATGTGGTCTCTGCAGTTGGTCTGATTGGATCCAAATTATTTATTTTAATTAATTAATTAATTAATTAATTTAGTGGAAATTGAACTCAGAGGCACTTTGAGCCACAATCCCAGCCCTATTTTGAATTATCTTTAGAGACAGGGTCTCACTGAGTTGCTTAGTGCTTCACCATTGCTGAGACTGGCTTTGAACTTGTGATCCTTATGGCTCAGCCTCCCCAGCCACTGGGATTACAAGCAGGTGCCCCCATGCCCAGCCCCTGACTAAATTCAAATTCTATGCCTCACACTGGTCTCTGTTGTCATGTGTGTGCCTAAGCATTATAAGCCTTTGTTAATTGATCCTAAGCAATGACTTAAATTTTAACATCTCTGAAATCAAATGGTTTATGAAAATGGGTTAAATTGGCCACATTCTATATTTTTATAGTAAATTATAGAGTCATGACTTACCAAGGTTGTGTGTGATGGCATGTATTGATTTTGACATTGTTAAAAATGTGATGGCATACTAAAATTCAATAATGTCAATGCTGTTGAGCCATGAAGATTAAATTATTTAATTCCCTTTTGGTTGTTACAATTTTAGGATACACTCTAAAACATGGATATTTTGCATCTCTTAAGGTCCTACAAAAACATATTTCAATTATCTGATTAAAATTTTTGACTCTGCAGTGTGTAAAATGATAAAAAATTCTTCCTTAAAATTCTCAGTTGACATCCGATTTAAATTCATATTGATTTCAAACAATAAAATATTTTTTAGGTTGACAAAATGTGAAATATGTGATGCAACAGTTTTGGTAAACATATTCATATGATTAATTTTTAAAAGTGAATTTTGCTGAGAACATGAATAATAAGACCAAGTAACAGAAACCTAAACATTGCATTAAATGTTAGTAGTGTTTACTAATAATTTTAATGTAAACTAAAATTGTAAATTGCCAAATTATTTAATGTCTTGCCACTTGGTAATTCTAAGATCTGTTAGAAACTTTACAAATATTTGAAACTATGATAGTACTAATAAAATGCTGAGGACTAGATCTTGAGCTGAAGGAATTACAGACATGATTTTATATAATACAACAACCTTATAATTCAAATGCTAGCATTTTCTTTTTCATTTTATAGATGAAAACATGGTCTTCAAAGTTTAGAAAATTTAATTACCTTGCACAGGAGGACAACTTAAACTCATACAGTGGACTTATAAGCTTATATTTTTAACTATCAAACACTGGAAAAAGAATAGACTATGAAGTCAGAGACAACTGGCATTTTCCTTTACCTAAATTTGGAGGATGATTTTTCTTGAACCTGATCTTGAAGATAATACCTACATTGTTATTTAGAGGAAAAATAAACTACTGTAGAGAGCATTTGACTATACTGTTCAACACATAAAAATATTTTAAAAAGTATTTTTTTTATTTTAATTAATTTTTCTTGGACATTTTTTCCTATTGATTCTTGAATACTTACAAACTAAAACACTTTCAGGAATGACAGAATGTGGGGTATTGAATGGGTGGGTCTAGAGAAAACATAAACAAACAAAACAAAATCTACTAAAAATACATTAAATTTGAAACAAATAAAAAATAAAAGTGAGGGAGCATTGACATTGATCTCTGCAGAGTTGTTTTTCTATCCCTGATTTAAAAAAAAAAAAAAAAGAATAAACACATATTTTTAAAACAATTGCATTGATGTAAAAATATATGATAACAATTTTGAATCTCCATATAAGCAATAAATAGTTGGTTTTTATGTTCTTTTAAATAAATAATTTTAGATTCTAATATCACATTTCCCATCTGTAAGTAGCTTCCCAAAACTTATATTTCTCACTTACGAATTGTTTGCCTTTATATATTCTTCTCCTAACTTAATAAATCTATAAATTTTGACAGCTTAAAATTCAATAATATGGAAATCTCTTCCAATTTAAAATTAATTTATTTAAGTAAAAAAGAGAAGAAATTACACAATTTCATCATCTAAAAAGGAAATGCCAAAGCAGTGCTGATTTAATTTACAGGTACGTATCAGTTTAGTTCTCCAGAGTCTGCACCTCTCGGAACCCATCTCGGAAGGATAAAAGCCAATGATCCTGACTTGGGGGAAAACGCTGAGGTGGAGTACAGCATTGCGGAAGGAGAGGGAGCGGACATGTTCGATGTCATCACTGACAAGGATACACAGGAAGGGATTATAACTATCAAACAGGTTTCTTTTTGCTGTCTTCATTTTTCCCTTGAGTGCTCTTTAGTTTATTCTTGCTTCTCAGTAAAGGAAGAAAAGTCTTGGATTTATTTTTCTGTATCTTTTATATGCTGTCTACCTTTCACGTAAGTGGGAATAGTTGTGATTTCACTTCAAATAAGTAAAGCATCTTTATCATTCACACTTATACAGTGGTTTGAAAGCTCAATTGCTTGCATTTGTAGTAGACAGCCATCAAATTAAGTTAATACTAAAAGTACCTGTTTAATCTCTCTTTATGGGAGAAAAAAAAAAGCATGTAGCTATCACTGTTATTTCACACAGTTTTTAAAATGTTCTAATTTTAGGTGTAATGGTTTATATAATTAAATAAAAGATAAAAATGATATGTGTTTTATGTTGATTATATTAATTTTTAATGCATTTTAGGGAAATATTTTGAAACTTTACATGGAATAATGTAGGTCAATATTATTTTACATTTTACTCATATGTTACAGTCAAATAAATGAAATATAAACAATTTTGCTCTAAGATTTTACATCAGTCAACTTTTCTTCTTGTTTTAATTATGTATAACTTTAATGCCAATAATATATAATCATTATATTCATTAAAGAATATCTCATTTATCTGTGCCTAAAAATATTGAAGTACAATACTGAATGTGGATCAATTTGATTTGCATATTCCATTATATTTAGTTAAACCTGTATAAGTAAGTATGAGGCAAAAGAAAAAAACCTGCAAATTTATTTTATATATTATATATTATATAAAATAAATTTGTATATATATACAATATTTATATATAATTAACAATATTATATATAATTAAGTATATATATATATATATATATATATATATGTGTGTGTGTGTGTGTGTGTGCGCGTGTGTGTAAGTTACTTAGTCTTAATTGCCTGTATCATTAAAAAATCAGGATTTTATATCTAGAAATTTTCACCTATGGTTATGGCTTGTAAATTGTGCTAATATTTTCTTGTTTTATCTAATTTCAGAATTTAGACTTTGAAAAAAAAATGCTGTATACTTTAAGAGTAGATGCAAGTAACACTCATCCTGATCCCCGATTCTTACACCTGGGACCTTTCAAAGACACAGCTGTAATCAAAATATCTGTGGAAGACACAGATGAGCCTCCTGTGTTCAGTAGACACTCCTACTTGATAGAAGTCGATGAGGATGTAAAGGAGGGTAGCATCATTGGACAAGTCACAGCATATGACCCAGATGCCATGAACAATTTAATTAAGTAAGTACTTTCAGAAGAGTTATGTTTGCAGGTATATAATCTATTTTCAAGCCATTTGGAGACAAATGTGTTGCACAATGTCAGTCAACCACAGAAATAAACACAGATTACAAACTCTTAGTTGAGATGTATTTTAAGCCATTTAGGTGTATTATTTAATTAGAGTCTTACAATTCTAGATATGACTATGATATTTTTCTGGGGATGATAAGATCAAGACACTAAGTATTTAAATAGCCCAATAGTGACAAATTTGGTTCTTAAAAAATCAGGCAGTCTATCTAGCTTCAGGCTTAGTCAGGGATTTGAATCTCACTTTTGATGTGATTCTTCCCCATTGTTCTTCTTTGTTAAATCAAAATGCATGTAAAAGTGATTTAAGAAAGAAATTGGAAATATACATTTCTCTCCCAAAATTATAAAGCTATGCACTTTCAAAAAGAGCCACTAAACCTACCTTAATTAAAATTTTGGTGAAACATTGCACTAGTTCACCATAATTCAAATATGAACACTTACATGTTCATATACTACAGCATTACTAAAGAAATAATGATATATAAGTCAATGGAAAGGTTAAAGTACTAACAACTAGCAGACTATAATACTTTTCCAATATTTCAATATTATATTCATTGTTTCAAAGCTTTAAATAAGTATAACTTTAATGCCAATAAAATAAATAAATATAATAAAGTATCTTTATAAAATTATAAATTTACATAAGAAAAACCTCAATGATTCTTAGAAAAATTTTCTTAAGGAGAATGGGAATGTAATTGATACCTAAATAACTATGAATAGGACAGAAGGGTGCTGATGTGTAGATATGTAGAGGAAATTAGAAATGACAGAAAATGTAGATAAATAATACCTTTTCCATTTAAATATGTGGCTAGTAAAATACCTATAATTTCATTTTTCTTTAAATTTTACTCTTAAGAAAAATAATTGGTTAGACTTTTTTTATGTCTTCCTTTACACATAGAATATTAATGAATATAAGTATTACCTAGTTTTTATTTTAGGACTTTCCAAATGTGTCAATTTGCAAAGTAATATTGCTGCACAAAATATATTCTGGTAAAAATTCTATTAGTTATTGGCATTAATATACAATTGAACATGTTAAACTTTGTAACCAAGAAATATTCTAGAATATTTTATTCTGTAGATCATAACTAGAGCTTAAAATTTGGTTAGTTTTAGGTTGAGTAGAAAAATCATTTACTGAATCTCCCCGTGTAAAAAGTAAATGATTGTTTTCAAATTTTATATTTTGTATGCTATTAAACATTATTTTTATGAGATTCATTCTAGTTTATACAAGAAATATTTTACTCTTAAAAATATTTTTATAAGGGCTGAAGTTGTAGCTCAGTGGTAGAGCACTTGCCTCATAAATGTGAGGCACTGAATTCAATCCTAGCATCACATAAAAACAAATAAAGGTATTGAGTCCATATACAACTAAAAAATAAAAAATAAATAAATATAATAAAATATTTTTATAAAATTATAAATTTATGTAAGAAAATATTTACTCTGAAAAATATTATTTTCGATATACATAAAAGTATGCATATCAGTATACTCATATTTTTATCAATATACATATATTTTTATCATTATAAATGCCCATATTAGGGACTGGGGTTGTGGCTCAGCAGTAGAGTGTTCACCTGGCAAGTGTGAGGCTCTGGATTTGATCCTCAGCACCACATAAAAATAAATAAAAAAGGTATTGTGTCCAACTACAACTAAAAAATAAATATTAAAAAAAATAAATTCCCATATTATTCAAAACAAAGTCTTTAAATAAAATGAAAAATTAACAGTTTTTCTATGATTAATTTATCTGTACTAGAATGTTCATTTCTAATACAATGTGATTTTTTATGCTATTGAAATGGGACATGCTTATTGCCTATTTTTCCCCATATGTGAATATGTTAAAACTCAGTGTTTAAAATACATCCAGCTTCTTTGCAATGCTCAAAGAGAAACAAATGCTTATTTCTTTTTTACTTTTAAATCATATATTTGGAACTTGATAAAGGACTTCACAAATTTGGCAATTATCCAAAAATTTACAAATGTATATGATAGTACTAATAACACCTTGTAATAAAATGTTCTTATAGTGAAAATAGAGATAGTTTGGCTATTCCACTAGAATGATGGATTGGCTTTTCAGTGATTGGTGTTAACATTTTTTCCCTCTAACATCTCAACTTGATAACACCTTCCTATTTTTAAAGAAAATAAGAGGTTTGCCACATTAGTAACTATAAAGGTTTAATGAGTGTCTGCCTTTGATGGTTTGGACCAGTTTCTAAACATGTGGTCTAGGTTTGGTCATACCTTCATTTCTCCTTAGCATTTGATATGAACAAATGTTTTTGATAGAAATCCTACATGTTCATTTTTAAAATAATTAATTGTACCTTTTTAAAATGAAAGTAATCCACTGTTAAAAAGTTGTTGTCAATGACAGAGTCTCAACTTATTTAGATAATGAACCATCTTATTGTTTGACCATTAAGCATTTCTGAATCATAAGGAGACCACATCTTAACAGTAGTCTGTGGATCTTTCCTAATTTGTATCCTATATTTGCATATTAAGAAGTCAATAAATGTTGCAAGAGGCATGTTAATTATTCCATGACACCAAGGTTACTTGTTCATTTACTCAGGTGAGGTGTCTCATCAGCCTTTATAAATTCTTAACACTCCTTTCTGCAGAAATATTTTCATCTCATCAATAAATTTTGCACCAGGCAACAATGTGTATGTTTTATTAGTCAAATCATATTATAAAATTTATAACAGTTAACTACCACACTTTGTCTATTTTCTCCATTCAGTTATTTTTGTTTCAATGCATTTGTTTTACTATTACATTCTTTTTTCTGTTTATATTGTGGATACTTTGCTTTCTTCCCCCTCCCTGTTTCTTTGACTTACAATATGAGGTTATTTATTTGAGATATTAATTTTACATTTTTCTTAAATATACATCATAGTGATATAACTTTCTCTGTTAGCATAGCTTTAAGTGTGTTATACAACAGTCTAATATTAATATGTGGCCTTCCTCTTTTTTAATTATTGTTTTCAATTAAAACATAACTTGTATTGTAGATAGATGGTCTTGCTTTATAACCCAGTTTAATATTATTTCTTTTAAATGAAATGTTTATACTGTGATTTTCCATACTGTTAAGTTTGTCATCTTGCCTTTTTTTTTTTCTGATTGTTTCATCTTTTTCTTGTTTCCTCTTATTTTGTGCCATTTTGGATTAGTACAATATTACAGATTGCTGGTTTTCTAACAGTATGGTAAATATTTTGCTCTGTAATAATGTTTCTTCCTGTATGGAATCTTTTGTTCCTCATGCTGCTTTTAATTTTTCAGTAATTTTAATTCAATTGATTGGAATATGACTTACAATAATGGACTTCATTTCTTTTTTGCTTAAACTTTATTGAATTTCTTGGATCTGTGAATTTATATCTTTTGTGAAGCTGGGAAAACTTTTAGGCATTGAATCTTCAATTTCTTCCCCCATCTTCTTCTCCTTCAGGGAATATAAATGTTATTAGGTCTCATGAATGTTTCTGTCATTTAGTATGTACCACATTCCACAGCATCTTCATATTCATTAATTATTTCTGTAATGTTTAATCAATTTTAAATCCATGCAGAATATCTATCTTTTTTAATATTTATTTTTAGTTGTAGTTGGATACCTTTATTTTATTTATTTTTATGTGGTGCTGAGGATTGAACTCTAGCCTTGCACGTGCTAGGTGAACACTCTACTGCTGAGTCAAAACCACAGCCCCCAGAATATTTTTTAACGTACATTCATTGTCATTTATTCTGTAGATGTTCTATTAAGATCACATATATATGTATACTATACACATATATGAACATATGTATACGGAACACAGTTAAACATCTTTTGAATGTCATTTTGAGCTAATTCTATCGACTGTGTCATCTCTGTGTTGGTTTGAATTAATAGATTTTTCTTTTCACTCATGCATTCCTGTTTTTTGCATACATGTAATTTTATTGGATTATAGACACTGTGACTTTTACCATGGTTACTGTTGTCTAAGTTTGCATTTTTATGAAAATTCCTGAGCTTTATCTGATGTAGTTAAGTTGGTTGAAAGAGCTCAGCCCTTTTGGACCTTGTTCTTGTGCTTTCTCAGCAGCCCTTAGTGTAAGCCTAGTTTTGCTCCATTGTTCACAATATCTGTTTGTTTGAAATTATATAGTTTTCCATCCTGTATGATAACCAGCAAAACTATCTCAAGGTTCATAATATTCCACTAATATTCCTAGTTGATATTGTGTACCCTTTAATTCATAAGATAATTTACCTTCATAGTGTTGTAGCCAAGTTGGATCCTCTTCAGATTTCAGCCTTCGCCTTCTCTCCAGTGCTCCCTGCCAACTTTAGCCACTGTTGTCTACCTCTACCTCTCTGGGTTTCTACTCACAATACTATAGGAACCTAGAGGACATTCGTGAAAGTTCAGGAGCTCACCTCCTTTTCTTCCCTTCTCTAAGAATTGCTGATTTCTGTTCTTCTTCTTCTTCTTCTTCTTCTTCTTCTTCTTCTTCTTCTTCTTCTTCTTCTTCTTCTTCTTCTTCTTTCTTCTTCTTCTCCAACTCCCCCTCCTCCTCCTCCTCCTCCTCCTCCTTCTTTTGTAATACAATGGAGTGGATTGTTCTTTGATGTTGTTGTAGTACATGGACACAATTCCTTTATTTTACTTGTTTTTATTTTTATGTGGTGCTGGGGATTGAACCCAGTGCCTCACACATGCTAGGCATGCACTGTACCACTGAGCCACAACCCCCAGCCTCTAAATGTCCAGTTCTTTAAACATCATTGTTTGCTTGCAATTTGCCTTTTTTTTTTTTTTTTGATGTTTAGTGTGTATGGGAAATCCATCCCCTATTATTCTATTTTTGTC